TAAGACAAAGCAATGGCGTCCACAATCCAGTGGGACAGCCGTTGCTTTGAGAGAGCCCTTCCCTTCTGGCTCCCTCCATAACAGACAAACAGCTGGTCTGAGGTCCTGAAACACTGCGTTCTGTCGACATAGGTGCGGAGAGCACGTACCGGACAGAGCAGTGCCAAGGCTGGGTCTGCCTCCTCCAGGGGCAGCGCTTGCAGGTTCACCACCTGGTACCGGAAGGGAGTGGTGGGAACCTTGGGCACATATCCAGGCCGGGGTCTCAGGATCACGTGAGAGTAAGCCGGCCCGAACTCCAGGCACGCTTCGTCAACGGAGAATGCGTGCAGGTCCCCCACCCTCTTGATGGAGGCCAATGCAACCAGGAGTGCTGTCTTCATGGACAGAAACTTTAACTCTACTGATTGCAAAGGCTCAAAGGGATGCCTCTGCAGTGCACTTAAAACTACCGAGAGGTCCCAAGAGGGTACGAGGGGAGGACGAGGCGGATGTAGCCTCCTCGCTCCCCTCAGGAACCTGATGACCAGGTCGTACTTCCCTAAGGACTTACCTTCCACTGCTTCATGAGAAGCGGCAATGGCCGCGACGTAAACCTTAAGGGTGGAGGGCGACAGCCTGCGCTCCAACCCCTCTTGCAGGAAGGAAAGCACGACCGCGATCGAACATCTCCGGGGGTCTTCTCCGCGAGAAGAACACCAATTGACGAAGAGGTTCCACTTCAACGCATAAAGGTGTCTCATGGATGACGCTCTTGCGGAAGTGATGGTTGCCGCCACCGCAGGTGGCAGCGAACTTAAACCTGTCTCGTCCCGTCCAGGAGCCACACGTGTAGCCTCCAAAGATCGGGACGAGGGTGCCACAGAGTGCCCCGTCTCTGAGAGAGTAAGTCCTGTCTCAGAGGAATAGGCCAAGGAGGTGCTGTCGCGAGGAGCATGAGTTCGGAGAACCACGTCCTGGTGGGCCAATAGGGGGCTACCAGCAAGACCTGCTCCTCGTCCTCCCTGATCTTGCACAACACCCGTGCAAGAAGGCTAACTGGGGGAAACGCATACTTGCGTGGGCCCCGTGGCCAGCTGTGCGCCAGCGCATCTGAGCCGAGTGTACCCTCGGTCAGGGAATAAAACCGGGCGCAGTGGGATGAGTCCCGAGAGGCGAACAGGTCTATCTGTGCCTCCCCGAACTGGTCCCAAATCAGCTGGACCGACTGGGGATGGAGTCGCCATTCGCCGGAGATAGGACGGACCCGAGACAGTTCGTCGGCTGCCAGGTTCCGGTCTCCCGGAATGTATACTGCACGAAGGGACCTCAGGTGCTTCTGACTCCATAACAAGAGGTGGCGGGCGAGCCATACTGCCAGCAGCTCGAGGCAATTGATGTGCACGAGGCGCTGGGGTCTTGTCCAGGAACCCGCGGCTGCATGCCTATTGCACATGGCACCCCAACCCGTGGTAGACGCATCCGTGGAGACAACGAGATGCCTGGAAACTCGCTGAATAGGGACGCCGGTCCGTAAGAAGCTGAGGTTCGACTACGGGAAGAAGGTTCGGTGGCATGCTGGAGTCACTGGAACTCGGAGCGAACCGCGATGCCATGCCCACCTCGGGACTCGATCGCGAAGCCACAGCTGAAGCGGTCTCATATGAAGCAAACCGAGCGCCGTTGCCGCGGCCGCGGATGCCATATGCCCCAGGAGCCTCTGAAATAGTTTCAGTGGAACCGCACTCTTGCCCTCGAACTGTCGAAGACAAGTCAGCAGTGAGTGCACGCGCTCGTTCGTGAGCTGCGCGGACATGGCGACTGAGTCTATCTCCATGCCGAGAAAAGAGATCCTCTGCACGGGGCAAAGTTTGCTCTTTTTCCGGTTGACCCGAAGGCCCAGACGGGCTAGGTGCCGGAGCACCAGGTCTCTGTGTTCGCAAACCTGAGCTCGAGAGTGAGCCAGTATCAGCCAGTCGTCGAGTTAGTTCAGGATGCGAACCCCGTGCTCGTGAAGGGGAACAAGGGCTGCCTCGACAATCTTCGTGAAGACGCGAGGGGACAGAGCTAACCCGAATGGGAGAACCTTGTACTGATATGCCTGGCCTTCGAAAGCAAACCGAAGAAACGGTCTGTGTCGAGGCAAAATGGAGACATGAAAGTACGCGTCCTTCAGGTCGATCGCTGCAAACCAATCCTGAAACCGAACACATTCGAGAATGCGTTTGGCTGTGAGCATTTTGAACGGTAGTCGATGGAGAGAACGGTTTAAAATGCGCAGGTCCAGGATCGGTCGTAACCCACCGGTCTTCTTGGGGACAATGAAGAAGGGGCTGTAAAACCCGGACCTCATCTCGGCTGGAGGGACCGTCTCGATTGCACCCTTCGCCAGCAGGGTCGCAATCTCCGCTCTCATGACCGGGGCATTGCCACCGACCATCGTGGAGCGAATTCCCACGAAACGGGGAGGAGACCGTGCGAACTGAATCGCGTAGCCGAATCTGATCGTTCTGATGACCCAGCGGGACAGCCCGGGAAGCTCTAGCCAGGCTCCCAGGAAGTGAGCCAGCGGGGTCATTCGAACCACAGACGTCCCCCCGGAGGGGCAGCGAGGCGGGTCGACCGGCATGCGCGCAGGAGTTACCCCGCCCGGATGCACCGTCGAAGCCCGCTCCCCGACAGAAGAGACCAGGGAAAGCAGAGCGTTCCACGGGGGTCTGTTCTGCCGGGGGTCTGGCGATAGAGGGGGAAGGGAGTGGCGTAGCCCGGGGACAACACACGCTCCCTTCCGCGCCCTCAGAGACAGAGAGGAATGAGTGGTCTGACGCACTGGGACGTCGAGAGCACCCAATCCTGTCTGTGTGCTCAGTGATGATGTCAAGTCTTTCTTTAACCAACTCAGGGTGCTGCCCACCCGTGAGTGAGCAGCGGGGAGCTGAGAACAAAAGATTCTCCCCCGGCCCTCCACCGGGGGAAGGAGGGGGCCTGCTACCGCCTCCTGGGAAAAACTTAACTTCATCACTGAGGAGCCCATGTCAGGAACGTCACTTAGCCTGGCTTTTAGCGGGGCGTGCGGCCTGAGGGGGCTGTGACGCCTGCCTGCGGCCTCCTCGACGCCGTGGCCCGGGTGAAGGCTGCTGCTGGGGCCGGGCGGGAGGGAGGGGAACCGCGGGGGGGCGTCCTCGGCCGCGAGCAGCGGGAGGCATCTGTGCCGACGACTGGGTGGAGGCAGCAGCTGGTCGCCGGGGCAGAATATGTTTGATTGCCTCCGTCTGCTTCTGGGCAGTGGAGAACTGCTGGGCAAAGTCCTCGACTGCACCGCCGAAAAGGCCAGCCTGGGAGAGAGGGGCGTCGAGCAGACGAGTCCGCTCAGCGCTCCGAGTGTCTGCCAGGTTGAGCCAGAGATGACGCTCCTGGACCACACTGGTGGCCATCACCTGACCAACGGCGCGAGCGGCCACTTTCGTCGCCCGGAGATCAAGGTCAGTGGCGGACCGCAAATCTTTGAATGCCATTGGGTCAGTCCCGCCCTCGTGCATATCTCTGAGCAGCTTCGCTTGGAAGACCTGCAAAGTGCTCATAGCATGCAAAGCAGAGGCCGCCTGTCCCGCCGCTCTATAGGAACGCGCCGCCATAGCAGACGAGAACCTACAGGCTTTGGATGGGTGCTTAGGAGGACCACGGGAGGAGGCGCTCTGTGGACACAGCTGCATCGCAACAGAGCGCTCCACCGGGGGCATCCCAGTGTACCCACGGGCTGCCCCACCATCGAGGGGGGGAAAGGCGGGGGAGAGATCGCGCTCTCGAGTGGACAGGGGAGTCCCCCAAGAGCACGATAACTCCACATGCAGCTCGGGGAAGAAAGGCAATGGAGTTGGCCGTGGCCTTGCGGCGGCAGCTTTGTCCAAAAACCAATCGTCCATCCGTGAGAGATCGGGGCAGGGCGGAGGGTTCCACTCTAACCCGATACTCCCAGCGGCTCGAGACAGCATGGCCGTCAGCTCGGGATCCGACACGGGCAACGCTGGCACTCCCGAAGGAGGCAACGCAGCCGCATCCTCATCTCCCGAGGACTCTAGCCCGCCTAGTGATGCTGTGATCGACATCGCATCATCATCTGGAACGCTGCCCGAAGCAGCCGGTACCCCCGAAGAGGCAGCCGGCTGAAACGAACTAACGCTCGCTGGCTCTATCACTGAGGCGGGGGGTGTGGCCCGAGGAATCGTCGGGGCTTTGTTCCACACCGTCACCGTTAGATCACCAGATCCCCGGGTCGACGGGCCCTCCGTGTTTGAGGAAGCCGATCGAGTAGGGGGGACCGGGACTCTCACTTTAGTTAGATCATTGAGTCTCGACCTCAGTGAAGAGATGGTCATGTTCCCACAGAAGGAACATGAGTCATCCACGAACGCTGCTGCTGCATGCTGAATGCCCAGGCATACAAAGCAGCGATTGTGACCATCAGATGACGACAGAAATCGACCACACCCAGAAGTACACGGGCGAACCATCTTTAAAAAGACGTGCCACGTGCAGCTCTTTCAATGAGAGGAGGAAATTCACTCTTTCAGCGCTGAGGCGACCAGGGAGAAGCGCAAAGTCTGGCAGACCACTGCTCAGATCGCAGGCGATGCAGAATCTCGCTGGGTACCGCCGTCACACCAACACTGAAGAGGACGCTCGTCTCGAAGAGTCTTGAACAGTGAGAATGGCTTTCAGGAGTGAAGAGGTTCTCTTGGCTCCGAAGCGAAAACATACTGCGGTTGCGTTCACTTCCTCCTTTTATACTAACGGAGTAGGGCGGAGTACGCTATGGAAATTTCCGCAGCCCCAAGGCATTGCATGCCATTGGCTCGTTTTTAAATACTCGAAGAGGATTGGCTTTCTATGCGAAACCCCCAATCTCCGTCACTTCTGACGTAACTCGAAGTGACTACGAAAGGGAACCAATGTTAACAGCCATATATATATATATATATATATATAAATGAAATGACTGATTATTTATTTCCACCATGCAGCCACGACAGAGCTCACCACAGACAGAGTGTGTTGAAGTAGAAATTCTTGAGGAATCAACATCCAAGGACAACTTTCTGGAAAACAGTCAGGCAAACCAGAACAACATATCAAGCCTCCAGTAACACACGCCGTCCCTCTCTAAAGCATCCACGCTTTTGAGCTCAGTCCACGCTTTTGAGCTCAGAGAAAATGGAGGAAGAGGTGTGTGCTGGAACCAAACTAACCAAAAAACGGCAAGCCCCACAACCACCAAAGCCTGTGGGCCCAGCTTGCACTCACTCTCCTTCTGTGATAGTTCTCCAGCCGCTGCCACGATGCCAGGGTCCGCACCTTCCTCCATCTGATGTAGGTGAACCAGAAACAACTGATTCAAGCTCTCTGTGATGTGTCAGGTCTCTGCTATGATAACAGTAACTTTCTCAAATGCAGAGTTGTATAAAGTAGAAGTAGAAGTAGAAAAAAAGTTGAAATCCTGCCATGTGTTTATTCCAGCCATGAACGGATTGACAGTTGATTTCAGCTGATTTCTGTCTCCTGGCTGAAAAAATGCTAATAAGCAAATCCAGGTGATTGGAACAAAATACTGAGGCGGACTTTTACTTTTTGAACCTGGACTTTACTCCTCTGAAGAGAACAGAAAAAGAGACGACAGTCTTAGATGAAATCACCTGAAAAGAAGACATTAAATCTGAAGATCTCAATAGAGGAGGATTAAACCACTCCACAAACAGCATTACCAGCTTCACTTATTACTAACCAGAATGACTTTATTTCTGTCAGACTTCTACAGAAGATTTTATTGAGAATTAACCGAGGTTTAACTCTGTGTTTCATTTGAAGTCACCATAACATCAGAATCTCTGAAGGAGAAAATCGTAATTGGTTACCATTATAGAGATCAGTGTTTGCTTTAGTTGGGGTCTTGACCCTTACATGATTAATTTCAGATCTTAATTTGGCTGCTGTACGTGAGGTTCAACAGCCAGATGAACCCGTCCTTGAAAATCATAATATTTATAACTTTTACAATGAATCAAATCTTTTCTTAAAATTTAATCACATACAATTTTTTTAAAAATTATTATTATTTTTCAAGACATCAAGAATCATCCTGTGAATCTCAATATTGGTGACAATTATATATAATGGTGACAAATAAGTGATTAATTTAGTGATGATTGAGCACTATTGAAGACACCTGATGATCACAAGCAGAATCACTGAAGGAGAAAACCGGAATTTCAGGTCACCATTATGGAGATCAGTGTTTGCTTTAGTTGGGCTCTTGACCCTTATATTATAAACTTTAGGTTTTGTTCGACTCTTGTATCTGAATTAAAACAGTCAGATGAACAAAGCAAAAACATACAAACTAATAGTTTTGGTTATATTGTGACAATCGTCATTTGAATTTAGTATTTGTGATTTATGTTGTTGGATACAGCATAACTGAGATTCTGCATAAATACCCTGATTTGAAATAGAATTAAAAGATTTCTTAAAAGTTGTTAAAAATAAATATATATTTATTGAAGGCACACATTAAATAAATGCATTTGAAAGTGATTTGATCAGAATAATTTTTACTAAATATTTTGGACTATCAGAAAAATTTTATTCCGCAACATATTATTGATAATCATATGTTTAGAACCACTAAAACATTTTAACAAGTTAATCCAAATCATCTGAAAAGTTTAATTTTACAGATCACAGCATGATTATGTCAAAATAAAAACCAACACTATCAGATCACACTTTTCTTTGTTCATTTGACTGTTATAAATCAAGAGTAGACAAACAAAATTTAAAGTGAAAGTATAAGAGTCAAGAGCCCAACTAAAGCAAACACTGATCTCCATAACGGTGACTTACAATTTGTGATTTTGTCCTTCAGCGATTCTGCTTGTTAACATCAGGTGTCTTCAATAATGCTCAATCATCACTAAATTAATCACTTAATTATCTCATTAACTTTAACACTCTTGAGTGTTAATTTAACACTCATATCTGCGTCATATCTCCATCTGAAAGCAGGTGAAGGTGATTTAATACTAATCAATGAACCGGCTTTACTGACGAGATGCGCATTACAATGTCATGCGATATATCGCCCAGCCCTATTTAAAATACAAATTACAGTCCCTCAAAGTATTTAATTACAAATGACAAATTACATGTATTTGAAATACTTATTTAATTACTTTTGAGTATTTTGTTATTCAAATACTGCCCATCTCTGATTCTAGGGTGGTTTTGCTCACACACTGCCAACACACATTTATGTTTAAACACCATGTAAAAGTGAATTTTCCATAATAGGTGCCATTTAAGGTTCAGTGTGGGTGTGAAGGAGGAAGACAAGGGTTGGCGTGACTGGGACTCGTATGTTTATTAATTCAGCAACAAAAGAAACAAAAAGATGTGCCACTTGTGCTTTGTACTTGTGATATCTGCCCTGAGATTTCTGTGAATGACAGGCCTTGTTTTGCCATTTTTTAAATTCTGCTCATCCCTTTTTGACACTGAAAAAGTGTTCTGTTTGTGGAGATGTTTAATCCTCTGCTGAAATCTTCACAGATTTAATGTCTTCTTTTATCTTCAGTTGATTTCATCTTTATTCTGTTCTTGTTTCACTGTACTTCTGCGATTCTGCTTGTTGTTTTAATCACTCTCTCAAATGGACTGTATTATTAAGCTAATGGAGGAAACAATGAAAGAGGGTACAGGGTGTGATTTGGAGCATTCGGAGTGTCGACTTTGAGTGTTGTTAATTATGATTCATTAATTTGACAGCTCTATTATTAGTCAAAATTCAGAAGTCCAATAGAGCTCAAAAATAAAAAGATATTTTGTCAGTTTGCTAAAAAAAGTTGAAATGTCAAAATATTGTGGTTGATGTTACCTTTTCTTCTCTTGTTCCTTGGTGTCATTGTTAACTAAAATTAATGTAAATCTTTTTCAATGAATTGCAATAAACCTGAAATAAAATGTAATATTAGATAAGAATGTAAACTTAAAACCCTTAAATGAGAAATGTTGCTGAAATGAAAGCTAAATACAAATATTAATAAATAGTTTAATCAAATATAAAATACTAAAATTGCACTGCTTTTACTTCACTGTGATTATACTTCACATGTAACCACCAGTGACATGAATGGAGCAGAAAAAATCTTGACCTCTTTCCCACTTTCCCTCCATTATTATAAGGTGGATGGGCCGTTTCAGGATATAGAGCTGCTGAAAAGTCAAGCTCTGACTGATATAGGTAAGATTCTGTGCCATTTGTCGAGATCTTGAACAGAAATCATTTGCAGACCAATTGCAGTGTGATTGAGCTTCAGTAAAATATGTTTTTGTTTGGTTTCATGTAGAGAATCGACAGGAGTACATTCAAGGGCCTCTTTCTAACATCCGACAGAAAGAGCTTCAAGACAACATCCCGTGAGTGACATCCTGTGTGTTACTTTATCTGTGAAAATGACCTCGAAGACCTAGGGCTGGGCGATATATCGCACGATTTTGTAATGCACATCTAATCAGTAAAGCCGGTTCCTTGATTAGCAGTAAATCACCTTCACCTGCTTTCAGATGGACGATATGAGTATTAAATTAACACTCAAGAGTGTTAAAGTTAATGAGATAATTAAATGATTAATTTAGTGATGATTGAGCATTATTGAAGACACCTGATGATCACAAGCAGAATCACTGAAGGAGAAAATCACAAATTGTAAGTCACCGTTGTAGGAGCCTAATTTTGCTTTTTTTCAGTGACAATTATTTCATATTATGTGTTGTATTTCAGTATTTTTAATATTTGTGTTTTGACTGTAACTTTCTTTCTTTGGGTGTACTAATTAGACAAATATTCTTTATATTTACCTTGAAATTTGGTATGTGTAAAAATTGTACTCTGGCCCTTTAAGAATTGCGACTGTAAGTGAGGCGGTTGTGCAGTAGAGTGGAGTCGCACAGTTTCCTTTACCGCATCCATGATATATTTAGGATTTAAGATTATATTTGGTTTCTTTTGTTTTATTTAACGAGTTGGATTAAAGGAAGAATTTACATGAAGAAAACGGTGCATGTGAATTATTTTAGTTTTAATTGGACACGGAGCAAGTTGACTGGAATTCTTGCGATGCGCACTCACAACCGTTATGGAGATCAGTGTATGCTTTAGTTGGGCTCTTGACATTTATATTGTCACTTTAAATTTGGTTTGATTGCTGTTATTGATTTATAGCAGTCAAATGTACAAATAGATCTGTGATCTAATAGAATTGGTTATGTTTTGAGATAGTCATGCTTGATCTGAAATCTATTAAGATGATTTACTTTAACTTGTTAGCAACAGTTTTGTGATTAACTGCATATCTGTATTTTTCTTATATCCTAAAATGTTTCATAAAAAATATTCTGATCAAATCACTATCATCTTTGTTTAGAAACACAGAAATCAATAATCAGCCTGTCTATCTCAATCGTGGTGACATTTATAATCCTTGTTGCCACCAATCACAACTCATTAATGGCTCCCATCATGCATTGCGGTTTGAATAAATAATGATCTGAATTGTCTATGTAATTTACTTTTCCTACTTGAATATTCTACTCGTCACCGTTGTTGAGAAGCATTGACTGAATCTTGAGGTCTGTGTGTGCCTAAAGGTAAGTTGTTGGGGTTTTTTTTAAACAACTTTTGAGAAATCCGTCTCTTATATTTAACATTCTGGACATTTATGCAGAATCTAAGTTATACACTAACCAACAGAATAAATCACAGACATAAATTTCAAATGATGAAAGTCATTATATGGCCAACATCATTTTATTATTGTTTATTTTTGTTCATCTGAAAGATACAACTCAGATGCAACAGCAAATTAAAATATAAAATCTATAATATAAGGGTCAAGAGCCCAACTAAAGCAAACACTCATCTCCATAATGGTGGCTTAAAATTTTAGATTTTTTTTCCCTGTGATTCTGCTTTAGGTGTCTTCAATAATGCTCAATCATCACTCATTTAATCACTTAATTATCTCATTAACTTTAACACTCGTGAGTGTGGACTTATATACACCCCCAGGTGTGTTAGTTTAACACTGGAGATTTCTTGTCGTGACGAAGAGCCATAGTTAACTGACCAGCTGAGCCATATCGCATT